CAGGCAAACACAACAAAGAATACTGTCCTTATCATTTTTGCATTTGTACCTCTTGCTCTTCTTCCTCCCCCCCCCCTTATCTCTTTCTTCTCTTCTTCTTCCCCTTTCTAACTATTACTCAAAAGATAAGAAAAGTTTACTAACCATCACCAAACATCTGAGAAGCTGCTGTGGGATCTAAGGTGGCCACGCTTTCAATGCGCAAAAATCCTGGGTCATCTGAATCTACAAAGGAAGAGATAAGAAAGTAGTAGTTTTTTCTTATATTTCCATACCAGTTATATAATTAACTATTTTCAGTAGTAGAAATATATTTAAAAAGAAGAACCAAATATTGCAAGACATTACAAATACATGCACAGTATCATTCATGACAAAAAACACAAGCATGAAGGTTGTTAAGAGACCGCCATGGGAAAATCGGGCTGGGGGTAAATAAAAAAAAAAAACAGTCCTAGAGATTTTATTCTTTTTTAATGAAAACAATCCTTAAGACTATCTGTTGTGTACCCGCATTTCACGTTGATAACTGTGGAATAAAAGGAGAAAAAATTTAAATGTTAGAAATAAATGGTACAATTCTATCTTTATAGGCTCACTTATATCAATATTATACTAATTTAATTATTCCCAATATACTAAGTTAATTATCTATCAAACCTTAAGATTAAAATATAAAATATCGTATTTTAACAACCAATGAAAATATCATAAAACGTTTTAAAAAATGCAGATTCCATCATGAAAATCATTATAAATCTAAAAATGCAAAATTAATTATTTCTTTCCTTTCAAAAATACAGCCAATAAAAAGACATGGAAAACTAAACCAAAATGAAGAAAATCGAACAATGAGACGCTTACTAACGCTTCGAGATCCGGCGCCTCAACGTTGACAGACGAGACAGCAGGAGGGGGGGGGGGGGGGTCGGACGGCCACAACCCTCCAGCTGCGTATGAAACCTCCTCTTGCAGTTTCCTGTTCCTCGTCTTGATTTTTTTTTTTTTTTTTTTTTTTTTGTCGGGGGGGGGGGGGGGGGGACGTTCATCCTTTGATCTTGCTGTTGAACTAATTGATGCCGTATTGCCGTCCGTTGTACACCCAGGATGGTGTCGAGGCGGCTAGTCTCGTAGCCAGCGTTGTAATTGGCAGCAGCGACGGCACACACAATATCTTGCATTGGTTTATTCCCATTCTTGTGTTTTGGATTAATTTTCCATATTCGGGCAATAAAATTCAGAAAAATAAAATTGCAGTCTTCACATAGAATTCTAACCTCAGTATCCGCCTGATACTGCGTGCAGACACACTTCATAGTGTAAGTATAGCAATGACTGCCAATTCTTCCAGCCTCTGCTTTGCAATGAGAATGTCTTTAATGTCCTTCACTTCCTTTTCTCCGTGACTCCCGAGGCTCTTCCGCTTTTCCGCGCAGGCAGACGCACGTGTTTGGGAAGGCGCGGGGGGCGAGGAGGGGGGAGGAACCCGCTCAGCGGCAGCTGCCACATCCCACTCTTTTCGTATCTTTTCACTAATTTCTACGTTCTTTTTCTTCGCCCTTTTCTCTTGAATGGCCTTCCTTGCCGCTTCAGCACATTTCTGAAGTCGTATTATATTTCTCTTGTGTTTCGGCATGATGTGTCAGGAGTTTGTAACACGCAAAATTCGAGAACGTGAGACAAAAGATATTCTCGACACTAGAGCTTATGCCGCACTGCCTGCTCCTCGCATAGAACCTCACTCAGCCACTACTCTCCTCGCACAGGTGTCAGAGAGGTTTATCATTGCAAATTCTTTATTGACAGCGATTCTAATGTGACACATGCGCGGATGTTCGATCGTGCGATACGTGAAGAGGCCTCACTCATGAAATAGACGTTTAAACCGTTCTATCGTAGATAATTTATTAATTTCATGGGGATGTTACCATATCACGGAAGAATTTTTGGTAATTCTTTCGATTTTTTAAAATTAAATTACGCATGGTGGTCTCTTAATAAAAACTCATTCATGGGCTTTGGATGTCTTACAAAAATGCATTCATAGAAAGCATCTTGGATTTCAATTTAAATCAATATATGGAAGCTGAACTACCAATGACAGATGAAATCAAAGTAACTGCCTTACCCATTCGCGACGGGCGTGACATGCCCATTGAGTTTACTTGTTTAATTGTCTTTAAACACATTGATTGCTACACTTGTACTAAAACACTAATGAGCCAATTACGAGTACTGCCTGTTTCGTCCGTTTACCCTTTTCTTTATTTTACGAAAATAGTTTACGTTATCTTATTTTGCTATTACTACTGTTTATAACATTATAGTAATTATAATGTTTATAATAAAAATAATACCATCGATATTCATATCACTAGTAAAAAATACATTTTCCCTCCAATTCAAGGAAAGGTGAAATCAGGTAATGCAGAGCCATTTTTTTTTGTGAATTTTCCCCGTCACGAATGGGTTAACCATTTTCTTCTGAGGAAATTCAGAA